ATATTTAACCCCAAAATAAATATGAGATACATAAGTAGTTGCACAGAATCAAACCACCACGTATTATTGGGAATCCTTGATAAATCTGATTCACAATATACGAAAAATAATGTATATTCAGATTTTATTTCGGCCAATCTTTCCTGAGGTGGCCTAACTTTTTACAGAAATAATACCTCATTTCTTTAATGATTGAATCTATAAAAACTTTAAGTAAGTCAATCTTTTTTTTTTTTTTTTTATTTGCCTTTATTTCCCATTTTATCTTACTATTATTGGCTCCAACATGAGATATAAAGTGAATCGACTTTTCTTTCATCTCATTTATTCCCACCTTTTCTACACCAGCATAGCCTTAATTTCCTTATAGTCCCATTTATCTTTAATGGTGTTATAGTTCACCTAGGATTGACCAAACTCGACATGTAGGGAGTTCATGATGAATAGAACCCTAAATGAGTCTATCACATTCATTCTCATGTTTGTAAGTTTAGCTTATATGTTGAACATGTAGGTCACGAGATCATGGATGAAACAGAATCAGTCGAAGTTTTATAGCGGAGAGCATGTTCATGAAACTTCCCACAATAGACTTTTTCCGTAACTTTAAATGGAGATAGTTCTTTGATATTTAATTATTTAGGAATTCTTTTGTATTATTAGCCTTAATATTATCTGCCATGATTAACTTTATAAAATTCAAACACAACATATTTGATAGCTCACATGCCCTACGAAGAGTTACCTCTACTTCGGAGCTCTCATCAGTAATGGTTGTGGAACTTCATCAGTAATTAGAGTATATCTAAATTCAGTGCACCTAATTAAAAAAGGATATGCTCAAACCATTCATTGAAGTTCAACCAATTGAAATTTTCAACTATAATAATGTACGGATAACTAAATTTTGAACGCTGTAAACTTTAATACATGCTATTTAGTTAAGCTTTGAGAGACAATTAATGGATTCAGAAATCTTTTAAATTATATATTTAAATATACCTTTGGGCAAATACTTAAATATATAATATACTTGATTGATGCCTAAGAGGAAAGATCTTTAATAGAAATTATAGGTATTGTAATTAATTAGCGGTTATCTTTGGACAAACACACTAATTAACCTAACTTTAATTATAATTTCTCTTTTATATATTAATCCTTAATAGAAATTATACAAAATTGAGTCAACTAGTGGCTATCTTTGGGCAAACACGCTAGTTAACATTACTTTAATTATAACTTCTCTTTTAAATATTATTACTTAATAGAAATTATATAATTTTGATCAATTAGAGGTTATCTTTGGACAAACACACTAATTGACCTAACTTTAATTATAATTTCTCTTTTAATTGACACAGACTATAAACCCATGGCCCACCTTTGGGTGTCCTCCTAATTTATAATTCATGACATCAATTATTTAAATATATAATTTGAGAGACTTTAATAATGCATTATTTTATATTTGAATAATAGATATTTTCATCTAATTTAATTATCTAATCCATAAATTAAACTAGGCCATTTTGGTGACTAACTAGTTTCTTTACATAGATAATATAATTAGAAAATAATTTTATTTGATTATATTATGAGATATTCGAACTTTTATTAATCTCAGCTATTCTAAAATCTCAACCACATGTTCAGCTTTACATGATCAAAGATGTAATTCTTATTCAATAAAAAGAACATTATCCTGTAATGACTTCTTATGCAAGAAATCAAAGTACAACATGATATCTATATCTATATATATATAATAAGATTTAATATTTTTCAAAAATAGTAAGTCAAATTTTGGTCAAAATCCTATATGCATTAATTACATGCCACTTTTGGCAATTTTTTTTTTCTTACAAAAAAATCGGGCAACATTAAATACTGCCCTTAAAATGTGGGATTTGTTCAATCACAAAAGATTTGAACACATTTTTAGAGATTAAGACCCTTATTTTAAATTAAATTTCAAAATACAGTCAAAATTTATATAACCGACTAATATTTGTAACATTTTTTAAAACAAATAGACATTCAAATAGAAAATGAGACTTCATTTCCGGTATTCAATTTTTTCGACTGAATAAAATTAGGATTTCGACCGAAAATTGAAAAATTATTCCAGATCCGTCCATTAAACTTACGAAATTTCTAAAATCTACAAAAAAAAGCAATATGAATCAAAATAATTGAACAACACATTACAAAAGTCTCGATATTCAAAATAAAAGCTTTTGAAATGGTCGAAATAGTAATAACAGAGTCAGTTTTTCATCAGTCTCCACCAAAAAACAAACATAAAATCTTAGAACACACACAAAAATATGACAATAAAAAAAATAAAATAATAGATGCATCTTTGTAAACATAAAGACAAGATATAATATCGATCTATCTAACATAAGAAATCGACTCATAATAGATGTGGTTGATTGTTTAAAAAATAGAGCATTTTTGTGAAAATTTGAAAGAATATTTTATCAAGTTTTTATAAGTGATATAAGAGAGAGAATAGAGAAGGAAAGCGGTGGGAGGAGGAGAAGTAATGACATAACCCTAATAATTTGGATATTTTTAACTTTTTTAGATGGCATCTTTGATTTCTGACCGTTAAATATCGGTTGACTAATTCAAACCGTCTGATCCATTCTTTTAAGCCATAACGGGTTGAGATGTTGGGTCGCACTTAATGATTCGGTCTGCTTTCATGGTTGGGCTTATTTGGGCCAATTCAATAATATGTTATTGGCCCGTTAAGTTTGACCCGACCAGTTTAGTTGAGTACATTATATTGTGGAACATAATTGGGCTTCAATTTTTTTTATTTTTATTTTTAAATAGACAGACTTCGCTATATAAAAATAAATAAATATATAAATTCCACAGATTATTATAGCCGTGCATAGCACGTAATAATAATAATAATAATAATAATAATAATAATAATTTTTGAAACCTTGCGTACTCAAATTTTTACATGTGACATCATAATTCTCTTTAAAAAATGTATCAATAGTGATTCCTCACTTACGTGACTTGAACTCGAAACCTATTTATAATTGTTATTTAATATTATTTACCTGTGCATCGCACGGGGTACGCACTAGTCAATCTTAACAATTCGGGCCAAGAAAATAATTGACCCAACCAACCAAGACGTAATCACTAATGGCAATACTTGTACGGGAATTACAACATCCAGCAAATAATTCCTAACATATGCTGAAGAATCCCTATATTTGCGCCAAATAAAACATATGCTGAAGAATCCATATACTTGCGCCGATAATTATTTGCGCCGATAATTCAACAGAATGAATTTAATATTCACGGCAAGAGAATGAACAGCACGCATAAATTTCTTATAACTATTTCAATCAATACGCGGCAATATAACCGCAACCTTTAATCGGCAAAATAATTAAGCAAAAACACATGCTCTGATATCACATGTAAAAAATTTAACAGACATACTCATAACTATCAGGCAGAATTGAATAAACTCTAAGCATGTAATTCTATCAATTCATAGAATATGGATATTTTGCATAAATTAAATTGCACATAGAAACTTGCAAGAATCCAGCTTATAATCCTTCCCTATTTTCTTGATCTATGATGTTGATCTACGATCCTCTTCCTCGTAATCTCCAATGATGGATTTGTCTTTGCCTATGAATATGAATGGTTTGGTTTCTCTCTCCCGCGTCCCTCGTCTTTTCATAGAGCCCTTGATGTTGAGAACTTTATTTCATATGAGATGGGAGAGAGGGACATGTAGTATATATAGGAGAAGACCTACAGACCTATTCCTACTAACATTCTCCATGTTCTAAACTTAACTTAATGTCCAAGTCAAACATCACAAATTGGACTCTTTAATATTAGAACATTAATAATCCATTAAAAACATATTCACCTTAAATAAGTTTGACTATTAATTCAATTAGGTCCAACTAATTATATGATCCACAATAATAGAATAATATAAAATATTATAACATCAAACTATTAAAATATATTTAAAATGTATGAGTTGAAATATAAATAGTTAATTGCTGGAATTGACTATATAAATGTAAACCATTGACACAAATAATCAACTAAAGAAGAATTTTGCAAGTTACATTACAATTTGAAAATAACTTTGAAAAGTTTGGAACTAAATTCATGAAGTTGGAGTTAATATTTGTTTCAAACATATTTTTATTTATACTAAGATCACCTAGCACTCAATAACATTGATATCCAATGTCATATGATATGGGTTACAAAAAATTTAGATTAATGTGATTAAAAATCATTTGACAAATCACATGTAATATATGAATCCCATTTCGAATAAACCAAAAACTAATTTTCAAATAAGTCGACAACTTAGTATCTACTTATTTTTTAAAACTTATATATATAATAAATCTTTAAATATAAGTATAAAAATTATTTATACTAAATGACTCTATTAAATTAAGATACGTTTTATATTCAATTTTTAAACTTTATTTATTAAATATATATATATATATATATATATATCTCGATTAATATCCATGGAGTACATAGCATGTTTTACTAGTATCATATAATTGATACAGATAAAATGATCAAACAATACTAGGCAAGGAATTAGTATCTAATATGTTCTGCATACTAGAGTTATAGGAAGTGGCTGATTGTTTAATATAATTGTGTAACTGATAATATGATATTCATTTATATATTTATGTATTGAATGTGTTAGTATTTTTCAAATTGTTTAATAGAACTGTACAACTAATTAATACTATGAGATTGTTCATTTATATATTTATGTATAATTAATTTTTCGGGGTAAACAGGAGTTGCACTGGGGAACTCTTGGATGTCTCCAGAAGATTATGTGGTAATACTAGCTTTTAAATGAAAAAATTCATTCCCATTCTGTAATTAAATGAGAAATTATACAATCAATTAACATGGTTTCAACTTTCACGTGATGAATTAATGCAGTTTTCATGGGGCCTCTGTTAAGTGATGTCTCAAGGCTGGACAACAATGGCCTAAATGAGTCAAACAGGTCCGAAACTTAGTGCTGAAACAAATTAATAATTTTTGCACATGTTTATTATTTATTATTATTTTTCCTATTATGAAAATTAACTTGTTTTTCCTATTGAATAATAAAAATCGTTAAAAAAAAAATAGTGTAGCGAATCAAATAAAGCAACAACTCGCCGCTGGCAAATTTGCGGAGGCAACCGATTCTTTTGACCAGCTTCAAGATGTCATCAGTCAAAACAGCGATGACGTGGTAATTTTCACTTCGTACCCATTATTAATATATTTTTTTATTATTTTCTTTTTCTGATGAATAAATACAAATATGAAAAACCACAAATAAATCAGATTTACTATAATTAGCAATCTATATCTATATCTACATCTACATCTACATCTACATCTACATAATAAGAATAACTATTTAATAAAAATAATAGTAAAAGTTTTAAGCATTTAATGCATATTTTTTCTTGAAAACTTTTTAAACATATGCATTAATTATTTCTATATACATGTTTTGAAATAAGATCAAATCAGATATGATCAAAAATATGATTTCGTTAAATAATTTTATTATTATCTGTAATAATTTCATTGATATCCATATAATAAATTACAAGATTGATTTTTCGTGATTCATACATTGATAATATTTTGATCAAGATAAATATTACAACATATTTTAAGTCGTAACAATAATATTAATTTTTTCACAAGTATTTACTTTTTTTATCCAAAAATATTTATAGAAAATCGTAACATGTTAGGTAAATTTTTTTCTTCTAATTAATCAGGCGAAATCAGGTTGGTGAATTAATCTTTGCCAATATATAATTATTTCTTAAGCTTTATTTCGTTATACATAAAAACTAAACGATTCTTCAAATTAATATAATTTACCATATAAGAGATCATGACCATATACATTAAACAGTTTTACTAATGGTCAAAAACTAAAATTGAAATATATCAATTGTGTGATAATTGGGTGGTAATTGCGTGATTTTTAAAATTAGTGTCCTATTTTGCCAATGATCACAAATTACGTGGCAAAAAATGCAATTTTGTAATGTGTACATAATTTGATTCTTCTGTTTAATTCTACACTGGTTGGTAAGCCTT